TAACCAACGTTTCGGAGGTCATACTGCCTCCGTCATCAGGGCGATGAGTATGAAGATTTCTGTCTTCTGGGTTGTTGCGCTGTGTAGTCTGGTCGATGTTAACCAACGTTTCGGAGGTCATACTGCCTCCGTCATCAGGGCGATGAGTATGAAGATTTCTGTCTTCTGGGTTGTTGCGCTGTGTAGTCTGGTCGATGTTAACCAACGTTTCGGAGGTCATACTGCCTCCGTCATCAGGGCGATGACGGAGGCAGGATGACCTCTGAAACGTTGGTTAACATCGACCAGACTACACAGCGCAACAACCCAGAATACGGAAATCTTCAAAAAATTGTTAATTTGGACAGATTTGTATTTTACTGCAGTGTGAGAAATTTGTGTACCGACCTATACAGTAAGAAAGTTTCGAGTTCTTTTGTTGTGTCTAGGACATCCTTGATTCGAATATCGGCCATCGACCGTAGTGTATGGTGGTTTTCCTTGGCTTCTTCAAGAAACCTGCATACTATCTTGAAATACGCGAAGGCCATCCACACTCCCCCCTCCCCTATTACACACGTACGTGTTTCCTACTCGCTGCGAAAAGCAGTCTTTAAGTTGTTTCATCCTACATTGTTTTAATTCTCCAGTCTTCAGTGAATTATTAAATTTAAGAATCTAGCAACCAGTGAATTGGAGAAATTCGTCTTTTTCTTTACACAGACCAGATCCGCACAGTCCATCGTTGCCCGTTCACTGATGTACACCAGATATCTTGTTTATATAGATTACTCAGGACATTCATTGCCCTCATAATGGAGGCAGCAGGTACCTCTACCAGACTACACGGTGTTAGAACCCAGAAGACAGCCAACTTGATACTCGCTGCCGTGACAACCTCAAATCCTAATTGTCCTGTTTGTTTTCATACATTTGCGGTTTATGGTCATTTTAAGTAAAGTACATGTTTCGTGTACTAACAAACTGATAAGATTATTGAGTATTTTTATCATTTCTGTTTTATAAAGATATTTCCTATCAAGTACTTCTTGTATGCTTTTGTATATCTATATACTTACGTAGATTTTAAAATTTCATTTAACTCGGCTGCTAGCTGGCTGGCAGACTGATCCTTGATGCTTTGGTCACTTCGGAGTCCCCATCACCTCAGGCAGCTTGTACTCTTGTCCTGGAATCTGGTTCCACATTACCATAACAACTTGTCCTGATAGACAGAGAAGGAACCTTTCGTCTCTTCGTGTCTCTGTCGCTTTTATCCGTCCAGGTACTCTCTGGCAAACGGATCTGTGAACCTCGAAAGAGACAATATGCATTTCAACCGAAGATCTGTCCTTGCCCTTTGGTCATGTGAATGCCACAAAGTATTATGCGCAGAACGGCACGTTTCCCACCCACGTGCAGATGTTGGCTCTGGCTGTCTTGTCTGTAGACCAGTATGTGTTACATTGTGTGAACATGGCGGCTGTACCAAGCGGTAACACAAAGCAGTTAAATCGCCTGAAGATGCAATCGGGCCTCCCTCTGGCTCCTTCTTCTTCTTCCTCCAGTATGACCGAACTCTCGCGATGCGGTTTTCGAGTCCCGTTTGAAAACCCCACCACAAACTAACCGAAAGGAGTTGTGCAGGTAAAATTCGTTTATCACATGCAATCCTTTAAATGTCTGCCTTATTTCGTTAGTTTAGAGGCAATGCGTGTCTTAATATCCAGTGAGATTTGCTCCTGAACACTGTTATTGATTTTTGCTGCTTATGAATCACCGGGTGTCATTCCATTGTGTAAATGTGTGATTGTTAATGTCTCTTACAAGGTACTTTTGACTGATCGGTAGAATGATGCACTTCCATGCTACTCGCGAAATATCTCGCTTAGAAACTCAGCCCCCTGTGTTCTGATTTGATTGAGTCTTTGAGATCAAAATAAATGTCACCAATTTGCCAGCAGTGAAGCTTATAATTCCTTACTTTTAAACAATAGAAATTAAACGTAACCACAGTTAGGCATGTACTAGCAGAAAGGATCTTTGGATAACAAAGAGTAAAGTTCACATAGTTGTCTTCTGTGTTCTTGCCCAGTGTTCTTTTGGTAAAATTAAGTTTCGGCGGGGCCTGCTTTCTCCATATTCAGGGTTGAAATGAGAAGTAATTTTATTTTTAGCACGAGTTCAGTTAGGTGGTGGTGCACGTTATTTTCAAACAGTTCTTCGTACTCAGTAAAATCTTCTCGGGCGATCAGCCGCGTCAAATGGTTAAACAATACAACCGACATTTCGGGGACCATCTCTGTCCCCATCGCCGTGAAAACTTGAAATCGTATAGTTCTTCGTACGTCTGCTTCTTTCTCTGTAAAGTGTTTTAAAACAGAGAAACTAAGTAAAAAATTATAATTTTGTTGGTTAACCGAACGAAAGCGCAGTGATGATTCGTGTAGCACCGCCCTCACTTGCGTTATTATCTGATAAATTGATTGATATTACACATTCTGATTAATAACCAGTTTATAGGCGGTTGATTGATTTAATCTGATTGTATAGTACATTAGGCGAGGGCTATTTTTTTCCCCCACTTTGTGTGTTGTAGTACTGTCAGATCACTCGTATACCTCGGTAGCAAGAATTTGCCTGTGTCAGTTCAGTCAATCTGCTTTTAGTTCTACTCTTAGTCCAGTTAACAAACCACTGGGTGTGTGGTGATATAAACACGATGATACAATGCCAGTAACGCCGAGGGCCGATACTGAACTTCCATTCTGGAACTGCTGTATCTAGTTAATAATCTCATAGTATAATTGTCTGACATTAATTTTAATATTATCTTTACCTTTTATATGCAGTCCTCCAATTGAACGACTCAACTGTCGGTCCATCGTTACTCTTCTCTGCTTTTCGCTGTCGACAGTGTTATGGACACCGACCGTATTTGCAGAGCAGGAAAGCGTCTGACTTAAATCCGACTGTCACCAGGTGCTTGCCTAATAGTCTTTCAGCGAGTTAAAGTTCCTATCTTTTATGGAGCAGCAAGGTTAATTATTATGTTCACAAGAGCCCGCTAATTGTGCCTGTTCTGAACCAGAAAAATCCAGCTCGATTAAATTTTTTTAAGATTCGTTTCATGTTGTAATTACTCTTATCCTTTTAAATTTTTACGTGATTTTTTATCAAAAATTTATATGCATTTTTTTATCGTAACATGGGTTTAACCATTCTGTTCCTTATAATTTAACTCCTTGGACTGTATTCGGAGAAGAGTATTTATTTATTTTTGTGCATTTAGCGTAGATTGTGTAGCTTCTAATGATCGGATGATCAATGGTTCATGAATTGGAAGGGGTGTCGAAGGAAGTGGTCGTGGCCTAATTTGATGCATAGTCCCGCCACTTGCTTGGAGAAGGGTAACCGATTTGAGGCCGGGCCTTCAGAATACTGTTAACTGCTTTGTCACGTCATTTGATATGAGAAGATTAGACCGTATGTGAAGGTTGTACAATTTTCTGGGGCGTCTTGTTGATCTGAACAAACTCGTCTTCGTTAGGACTGGTTTCTTCTCTCTGATCAGTTTCTGGCTGTTTATTTACTTATATTTTGTTTTGTGCATCTAATAAGTTATGCAAACCCGACCGACCGCTTCTCTGCTCTCTGTCCTTGGAGCTGATACCGAAAACAAAACGTAGCTCGCATCTCACCGCCTGGCTGGTATGAAGGAGATCTGGACAGATAGAGGCTTTGATGTATCGTGCCGGAGCTAGACCTTGTAACACAGAGAAGCAAAGGAACGTGGAAAAAAGAGAGCGGTGCACAGCGTATAAGGTTTAAAATAATGACGATAGATCGAATGGCAAGATAATGTAATGTGGTTTTGCGAAAAGATTTCCTTCAGCCTCTTGAGATTGTACTGTCATGTTACTCCAAAGATGGTTGCTTCAGAACATCAAAAGAGTTCGTTTGTAATGTAAGAATATCTTGATATTAATTTTAAAAATTGTATTCAAATCAGAATTGGCAATAAAGTTTGTTAATGCCGAAAATATAATAGAGTATGATAAATGTAACTTAACGATAAAAATACAATATGATATATAATGTTTTTATCCCACCGGTCTGTGTTGAATTTTGTTTTTAGTTTCTTACTGTCTCAATATTGTTTCGATATATTCAGCGTAGCCATTTTTAATCCTAATATTTCCTATAACAGGCACGTTTGTCGTTTATTTCCACGTGCCTAAAATAATTGTCAACTGTTGGGTGTTTCCATAAACTGTAACAGTAGACCTTAGTGAAAAGCATAACAGTGTGAACAGTAACAATAACAAAATGGATTATAGATACACGCGCATGTTATATATTATTCAGTATATCACGTGGAAGAGGTTGAAAAACACTGGACATATCACATTCTATACTTTTGAAGCTTTAGTTGACGCCATCAAATTATCAGTTTAATAAAACTCCGTGTTATCTGACATACCAAGTTATTCTCAATTAACGTATTTGGTATTTTTGAAAGATCAGGGGCTGAGTCTTGTCCGCTCTATCACGGGTTCGAGTCCCACTAGAAGCATGGACGTATATAACTTCTTTCCATGTTGAGCTGTTCTGCGTACGAGGAAGTACCGACGTTTCAGAGGTGTTTGCTGCCTGATGATGGAGGCAGCAATCGTCTCTGAAACGTCGATGATCAATTGACTAATAGGGTAATGTGCCATGACAGATTGACTCGACTGTACCAGCTGTCTGCTCCTACTGTCCAGGCCTATACTTGGTTTATTATTCCTTTATGTGTACGTACGAGTTTCTAATGTCTTTGGCTGTTGAGAAATTCATGAATAAAATTACGATGAAAATAACAATATTATAAGAAATGGGGTCGGTTTCAGTGTGAGGAGTGGGTTGAGCAACTATACGCTGTTGGTGAGAGATTACAGCGGAGGGATTCTGTTGATGACCGTAATGAGAGTTGCTGTTGACGTAACTAATTGCTAATGCATTTTCTGTCCTTGTTTCAGGTGAGTTTTTGTACTTTCGAAGCCATAGCTGCCGTGATTTGGTTCTGACTTCGTTCCCGGTTTGGAGCATGTTCACGGTACTGTAGATTACTCTTAATTTTATCCATTTATGCAGAATGCCATCAAGGCCAGTGTTGAACGCGTTATATACGAATTGCTAATATATTTTTCGTAATTGTAACACAGGTACATGGTAGCGACAATGACAAATCCAAACGGTATTCATGATGAAGTTGAGCTGATTTAATTCAGCAAATGCTTCTAACGATACAGTTCAGTGTCTGTTTATTGCTTGATCTGTCTGTGAGCATATAAAAAATTAAATATGTGTTAGGCTTAAAAATTTGGGATGTTCTCGATGTGGCGGGCGAAGACAGATATCCCTGCATTTTTTGGGAATATAACCGCGGTCTTCTAGTCATTTTATTGACCGACTGGTCTTAAATGTTTAATATAGTGGCTCCGAAATGCAAATTTTTCTTTCCATAATGCTTCTGAAAATTTCGTACAGAATATGGCGCAGAATTATTCTGTCATGTGAATGATGGAGCACAAATGCGTTCACTGGCCAATTACGGCCAGTGTCATATGCTGTGTCAACATTGTAATGTGTGTGAAAGGGTACTACAGTTGTGTGGTAGGCATTTCTACAAGGGCAGCAAGACATTATGGCCAGTTTGTACAAGTATGAAGTAATGGATATAGATATTACTGGCAGCAAGGAAAGAAGCAGGTCACTGGAAGACCTTAAGTCAGATAAGCCACCATTTTATATACTATAAAAGTCTTCTAAAATGTAAACAAAAAAGCTACAGCCGCGTGTATAGATTTAACTGGATTTTTAATCCCAAGTTAATATTATGTAGTGGACTACGTAGAAAATAAATTGAATAATTTCTTCTTTTGTTGAATTTTGGATCCCGTCATTGTTGCGTCATGAAATTGTAATCCTGCCACCTTTGATCTGTTACTGTAATTTTCTAATAACATTATTAGAACACAGTCTGTGTATCACAAAAGTGACCTGAGTTTTGATTAGTGGAATTTCTTAAACAAAAAGCAACATCGTAATATTGTTTGTGGTAGAAAATAGGGTACGCATCGGGAAGATTAGATTGGCATCGTGGTAGAATGGTCCTGATATGCGCTTTCTGTACCTCGTTAGTCACTTCTCAGAAATAGTGAAACCTCGTCTGGTAGACTACATTTGTCACCGTGTTCCTTAACACGATATGTCGATACAATTCCGATTTTTGCGGCCTAAAGTCGATATGTACGAACAGACAACAAAAACGACACAGTCCTTCATTTCAGCTGTGTGACATTGGGAATAGTAGGAATATTCGAACCAGCGTCTCTTGACATAAAAAATCCAGTAACATAAGAGTATCATTCCATTGAATAAATGCATCTCAAATACATTTTAGGAAGATACATAAGAGTTGGGGGTAACATTTCTCTCCTGTAAATACCTTAACTAAAACCCATTTGTGGCCGTTAGCTCCAACATCCATTCCAATTCATACATGTTCCATTTTAGAAGGTTTTGTGGGAGGAGAAGCTTGGGTTTGAGCATTCTCTGCATCTCTGTGTGTCTGTATGCATGCAGGAACTGTTTCCCTCTCCATGACGCTTCGCTCGGATGGAATAGCTAGGTTAGCCCCATCCAGCCCTGCTGGCAGAGACCGAGCTATTAGATTAATGTATCTCGGACGTGGCAGACAGATTCCATTTCGCTAAAGCATACATAGCCATATTGTAAAGCACAGTACACACACACACACACACACACGCACACATGTTCCCTCCTCCCCCCTCTCGTTTGGTGTGCCTTTCTCGTTTTTTTTATCTGCACCTCCAGTCTTTCTCTTCATATATGTTACTCCCTGTTTTTTTAACCCTACTCTCCTTTTGCCCCTTTTTTACCAGCCGCCCTATACGTAACGTATCCCATTTTAACCCTAGAACCCTCGCACATAAATATCCATAGATCCCGGAATAACGCTGGTAGAATTGCCCAAGTGTTGCCATAGCGCATACTGCATGTTGGGAACCAGGTCGTTTCAGACAAGATTTTGCACCAGACGAAACTATGTATCTGGTTTCTCAGTTTGGGCTCAGATTAAATGATCTTTCGACAAGAATTTAACCTAACTCTGGGGTTCTTTGAGGAAGTCTCATATTTCATTGACGATTCTTAAATTGTTTATGACCTGCTGTCAACTGAAAAGGTTTATGCACAGCACATGAGGCGAGTGTTGAAACCGGCCTGGGGTGCTCTGTGGCAACGTCGACTACCACTCGCACCTCAGTCCACCTTCGCATCACGTACTCTGCATGAGTGGTTTCAAAACTGACCTCACGTTCTGTAACGTCGATTGAGATGGGTAACGTTTGGATTCGACAGGAAGTGGTCGTGGCCTGTTTGCATTGTATAGGTATTAGCCTGAAGGGAATGAAAAGACAGCTGTCCTAGAGCTTCCCCACTACACAAATCCTCTCGTTTTGAGTTTCATTAACGTCTAGGTTGTAGATGGTTACTTTTCTCGCTGTCTTTTACCAAATTTACGTCCTAAGTTAACAAATATTCAATGTTTCCAACCGCCTTATTGCATTATTACCGTATGGTCGCCGTAATGATACATCTGCTAGTACAAATTATAGACGGTCCTTAATTTTATTCTTCGAGACAGACAATAGTGAAATGGCTCTATATGTCAATGTGGACAAATCCTGTAGTCGCATGTGCCACACACAAGTTCGCAAGGTCCTAATGGTTTTACGGCCATGGTTCAACTAGAAATTGTTAACTAGTTCAGTGATATAGGGTATTCCTTGAGAAGTTGACAGATATTCTGCTGGTCAGGAAATTTTCATAAATTTTAAAGATTGATCAACTCTCCTTAATATTCCGGTCTTCCGTCGTCCCCAGGAAGGTGGCTTCTGGTGCACGTAGAATATTAATCATTTCGGACGTAGTTTCGAAAATAACTTGTGTCCCTGCCAGGACTCGAAACCCTTGCCGTCATGATCGTAACCAATTGCGTACTTTACTGACAGAGCTCTTCTGGCGGTGTAAATTATGTTTTAATTATGTTAAACAGGTTTAAAGTGATCCACTCAGGTTTATAATAAGAGTTGTGTGTTGAAAAGTAGCATTCCTTGGCTGTGTGAAAGGCGGAGAGATGTATTGGAAGCCGGTCTGTAATTCGCATTTGTCTTGTGTAGTGGCAAGTTGAAAGAATTGGGATTAATTAAATCGTTATATTGTCTCGTTCAGGTAGTCCCTTGGGCCGTGCAGCGCATTGTAATGCGATAATTCGCAATACATGGCAGCTAAGGTAAAAGATAAATAAATTATCTCTGTGCTTAAACGCAACACCATGAGGACTGTCGAGGGAGTGAAGGCAAGGTTCCACTTATTCTTAACTTAGGATCTAGATGGAGGCCAAGAGAAAGGAAGAAATGTAAAGATGGAGACAGTTGCATAATGAGGAATTTCAGAAATTGCCCTGATTCCCACTGAATATTATTAAAGTTGTGATATTTTAAGTTCTTGCTGCGGTGAGTACGAAGATGGCTGCCCTCTGGGTTGTTGAGTAGTTTAGTGTGAGACCAAATTGCCTTTGTAATGGAAAAATATGTAAACAAAGTTAACCCAATTAAATTACGTGCGTATGTAGAAATAAAGCTGGCTTCCGGTTTATGGACGTAGGAAAATGGCGCGTAAAATAAATATTTCCGGTAACAATTAAGGATCTTGTTTCTGCATGTATTTGGTGCTGAAAATGTCCTCTTTCAAGACCGTAAAATGTTTTATGTCCTGATGATTTGTCTCTCTCTGCGTGTAATAATTTTACGACTTTTTTTCGTGTATAAGTCTAGAGATGTACCATGTATCTTACCATCGGATAAATGAAGTCAAAGCACGAGTTTTGATATTTTTCTTGTTGCCCAAGAGAGTAAAGTGTGTTATTTACACTTTTCTTTACATATCGCGCAAATATCAGTGACGGTAATACGCCGGGATTTGAGGTTTTCACGACAGCGAGTCTGCAACAACCCAGAAGACAGCCATCTTCGCTGTTCGATCCTCTTCTACAAGCTTATAATTGACAGATTTTCACGGTTGTACTCGGCCCTTCTAGGCGAATGCCATGAATAAGTGACCAATTTTCTGGCAACGGAACCCAAAGTATCAAAACTTATAATAATAACAGATGACAGATTGTCTTCTGGGATGTTTGGATATTGTAGTTTGGAGAAATTTGCTGACGTTTCGGGTATGCCTGCTGCTTTCATCATCAGGGCATCATCGCCCTATAACAACAAGAAATTCAGTGATTTGGTTTATATTCCCGCACTAAAATAATTTCTATTAACAACATTAGTGAGAGGTCTGTGCAGTGTAAAATATCGCCATACAGTTTTAGATATATGGCAGCGTATCTATAGAAACGACTTTGGCAATAAAAAACCCTTTACGGCCGCCGCAGAACAACTTCCTTCTCGTCACTGAAAATAAATGTTAACCCCCTCCCTACTGGGTAGAGGGAGGGTGTCGAACTGCACATTTCCACCTGCGAGCCCCACTTTCTGCCTGTGTCCCATGTAATACATCATGCGCTACACTCGTATCTGCAACCATAATCTGACAGCGGAAGATATAATATACATACGTGGTTCGACCATGACAAAACACCATAGCATTGCTTCAGGCGTTTCGCACGCTTTTTACCCTTCCACATCATGAGTGAATTTCATACAGACCGATAAAATCCGATTTTTGGCCCTGTGTGTTCGATACTGGCAGTGCTTAATTGGCCGATCAGTGGTTGCGTGGTCTTTGGTCTCGAAGGCCGGGTGGGGCTGTGTTGAAAACCCAGACGTTACAACTTTGCGAAAGAATGAGAAGAAGAATGACTTGGAAGACGACAGAAGAGGAAGTAGAGACAGAGAAGAAAGAAAGGAGGAAAATAAAAAAAATAAAGCGAAATAGGAAGAAAGCACGAAACCCTAGTTTAAATAATTAGGATGTACAAAGCAGGTGCCACAGAAACTCATCGAACTGCCTTAGTATTTCTCGTTGAAGAACCGGACTTCTTCACTCGGATGTTAAGAAGAGTTAAATGTGTATCTCACTTGCTTGAATCTCGTAGCTGTTATGGGCTTTGATGAAATAGAAATCGTCTTTACTTCGACATTGTTATGCATTTATTTTTTGTTGGATTACACATCCTTTCATCATTCGTAGGACGCAAATCGCGATTGAGTGTTATATCACTGTTCACTGAACCACATAAAGTTTTATTATCTCTTCAGTTGAAGTTAACTTGAATTACCAAAACCAGTTACTAATACAATGCGATTCATATGTATTCTTCCACAATAGGAATGGAAAAAGTTAACGCTGATATTTTCACTACATATGTATCGGTTCATAATATTCCACACTACGTAGAGCCTTTTTTGTGTGTTTTATTAATTATTGGCGACATCGAGAAATGTTTTATATTAAACCAGTTGATCTTATGTAATAAAAAAATGTCGATTTTAATTAGATTTATATTTATGTAATAGGCCTACACAAGTTCATTTATGTTATGAACCGTATTCAGATTAATTCAGCGAAACCTGGGGTAGATATTGTCGTGAACTTGATATGACATTGGTAAATTCGTGACCTCAACTTACCTGACCCATATTAGCAAATGCTAATTCAATAAAAATCTATCTACACATAACGCAAAGTAAGCTTACCGTACCTAACGTAACATAACCCTCCCTAACCTAATCTAATCTAACCCAACCCAAGCTAACCTTTCCTAACCTAAATGAACTAGCCTTATATTTGGAATGTTATTTCCGTGACCTAGACATGAAGTTAATCTATCCGTGACCTCAAACTGGCATGAGTATAACGGCGAGGAACACTCCTATACTTATTCATACTAGCGTTTCTTAACATATTTACACCGTTTTGAGATGCTTTATACTGTAGCGTATTAGCCTCTAACCCCCCCCCCCTCAATTTATGTTTTATGGTCAGTGTCAATTAGCATAAAAATGTAGTCATTTGGTTAAATTGTACTCTCTTGTGTTGTGAAAATTGAATTGTAGATTACGTTCTGGGAGTACCACTCTGGGCTCGCGGTACATGCCTTAATATCTCCTCAGCTGTAGATCTATTCCCGCGATCAACAACAGAGCACGTCAGGTTGCGCTTGTATATTTTGGCTTCCTTCCGACAGAGGGGGCGTCTGATGCATAAATTAGTGCGGAGTGTTATTCCCTGGACCGAGGTGTGAACGTGCATGTTGATGCTGATCTGATCCTGTACCACCGCGTTGAGAGAGATCTGCCACCTTGTAGTGATACCATTTCCGGTTATACAGGACCTTTTGTAAAGGCACGCCAATGTTCTCAGAGGTCAGTGTCTTCGGTTCCCCTAGATTCAAGTGTCGTAATTTGTCTTATCATAGTTAGGTTTAGTTGTGTTAATTACGATCACCAACCTCCATTACGTGCAAGATGCCGTCTGACAGGAGCGTTGTAGTTCTTCGTCCTTTTGTGATGTCGGTGATTAACTCTGGTGTATCAACAACTCATATTCTCTCGATGAGACGAACAAGTATCAACTAAACAACGAAGTCTTAGTAGCATTTTCTTAATCAGCAATTAAGCCTGCAAGTGATTTAATCAGAGAGCGAGTAAGTCAGAATGTTTGTCAGTTACTTGGTCATTGCGTCAGCCAATCTGTAAATCAATTATTCAGCCAGTTTGTTGTTCTGTAAGTTAGCCAGCTATTCAGTTGTTTGTTACGTATTGAACCAGGTAGTCAGTAAGTAGTTGGCTGGTAAGGTTATTGATATATTCTCTTAATCATGACTTATCAAACTAATGAAGAAGCAAGCATGGGAAAAGAAGTGTATATTTTGGCAGGGAAACTTCGCGGAAGAGATTTTTTACTCGGGTATCTGTAGTGCGGTTAGCTTTGCAGCAATAGTAAGATGGCTGTCTTTTGGTTTGTTGCGCGATTGCCCTGATGATGAAGACAGCAAGCACCCCTGAAACGTCGGTAAACACTACACAGTGCTACAACCCGAGCCATCTTGATACGCCGCCGCCGCTGCGATAAGTCTGTGTGGTTGCAACAAATGAACATCGAAGCCGACTGACTTGGTATACAAAATGGAAGAAAAAATAGAATTTGTTGTACCCAAATTTAGTACATTTTTCTATTCTTGTTACTATTTCGATATGTGATCGTCACTTGAGTGGCATTGACATTCATTTCAAATTAAGTAAGTCTGATTAATACGAATTCAACATCTCTGCCTGCTGTTTTTATTAAGAAGATTCGTTGAATCTGTAATATTAGATTCTGATATTTAAAATTGCGGCTTATCCTAAGTGACAAGCGTAGAAAGAAATTTAATTTTCTGTTAGAGCATTCTAGTGAGATTCAGTTGGAAACTTGTAACGAATTGTAAGTGGAAGGAAGTATGTAAATTCTCTTCCCAGGCATCGTCTCGCTGTGGATCTTATGTGTAACTTAAACTCTGTTCCACTAAAATTTCTCACGCATATCTTGAGGCCGATATAAATTAGCTTACACTTCACGTCAAGCTAGATGTTGTAATTTGCATCTTCAGAGGACTTTCTCTCGCGTCTGACAGTAACAAGAGCTGTGTCCGGTGGGACGTTGTCTCGACCCCTTACCCTGCTTAGCTTCAAGAAGACAGGAGGAGTTTCCTTCCCCAAGATGAAACTGCTTGCGTCAGATGCGAGTGTAAACTCACAAGTTTCTCTCAAATGGACCAAGATTGAGTTAAGCAAGCCAGCCACTTTGCAGCTAGTGATCTCTTCCCCATCTGAAACTCTTGTCTAATTCCCTTAAATGAATTGTCGCTTCGAGTGAACAACGAAGATTTAAAAACTGTTATTCCCTGGAAATTTTTTTCCCTCTTCTTGTCAGAGCCGTGAAATTACTAGTGGAAAATATTGTGTTAAGCATATTCAACTTTGTTGTTGACATATTTTGGAGAATTTAAAACAGTAACATGGCGCCAGAGCAAATTTGTGTATAGTTTTTTTGGTATTATTATTATTAATAATAATAAGGAACTTCATACATCATCCGAAAGGCGCTTTCATGAAATAAAATTATATAATACATGTAGCACTTGCTAAAAACAATATGGATCCCGGAAATAGCTGCTGCCCTATATACCTTAGGGACAAGGTCTGTCTCGGGTACATGGGAGTACATACCCCATAAAGTGGTGAAGAGATGGGATAATAATAATAATAATAATA